ATCACAGTGGCAGTGACTTTGTGGGCCATCTGTTTGAGTTTTGTTGGGTGTTTAACAAGCTTCCTTTGACTTTTTCTCTCCTCACTGCCACTGCTGTGCTAAAGCTAACATGAAGATAGCGACTTGGTCTATTTGCTGCTGGTCTAATAAAACTAACCCCTTTTTCCAACAATAAATCAACAAGACAACAACAAAGGACATTTGTAAAATGGCAGTGATTGAAAAGTTGGACCATGTGTTTTATACCTGCTCTGCACTGGATTAGTCACACAAACACCTTTATCTTGATGTTTTCTCTATGTTCTTTTCTCTGTTCATTAAAGTAAGAGTTGCTCAAATTGTTTGTACCTGGGTGCAGCCCTAACTGATGCCTGCTTTATGTTTCTACTTAAAGTATGGATGAATTACTGAATGGGTCCCCTGTGCCCAGGCCAAAGGGCCCAGGACCCCTGGAGTCACCGGTAAAATATCCCAGAAAGAGACACAAGTAAATGATACACAAAACAACCACAATGACACAAAGAGAGATAAAAAATGCCCTCAGTGAGCAAGCATCGTGACTGCATTGTGATGTAGGTTATACACTCTCATAGTCTCATACTGCACAGTGTATTTACCGTTTCCTGTGTTTGGCAAGCACTCGCCAACGTGCAGCACCCTCCCAACCATTGGTTTGTATGACTCACATCCAGATCCTCTTTATCAGGGAGGCACATCCTGAGTCCATTAAAGCTCTAGAGGTGTTTTTCTGATCACAGCATCAATGTATGGACAAGTGGTTTATGTGTGATTGACATGTGAATGAGATAATGAATTATTTGTGTGCCTCAGTAACTCACCATATCAATGTGGTGTCAACCGGGGCTGCCTCAGACGTGTGCTCCCATGTGATCTGGGTCCCCACTTGGCACTGAAGATGCAAACTGCTACACACATCAGCTGCAGTGCATGTGGGAAAAAGCTGAACAAGCAGAAAAAAACACTGGACCAGTCAATGGTGCTGGCATGGATATTAAGCTAATTAGCATAGAAACCATATTACTTCTTAAACATATCACTTCAGTTTGTAAACTTGGAATAGTCAGTTAAAAAGGTCCGTTACAATGTGTTCAACATGTCAGATAATTGTGAAGTTTTATGTTCTCAGAAGAAGCTACATGCTAGCTATAAAACATTCAGGACTTAGTGAAAAGTGCTCAAGCACTGTACTTAAGTAGTTTTGTTTCATGCTACTTTATACTTGTAATCTGTTACATTTAATATTTCTTCTACTACACTTACCTGACAGGTAGTCACTATTAATTTTACAATGTAATAATATAAAATATCACATGAAATTATGTCGTATACTACAGCAGTAAAATTCTAGTTCACATTAATACATCACTCGTAACAATCTAATAATGTAGCAGTACAGGTTACTTCTAACGGGGACCATTCCTCAGCACTATGTACTTTTACTTAAACACCCTTTTCAATCAAGTACTTGTAACTGAGCATTCTGTAACAGTATTGTAACTTTTACTGTAGTAAATTCAACCACCACTGGTAGTTTTCTTGACACAAACTACTTTAGATTACAGACCGCAGGTGACTTAGTCCTTTTGAACATGAGAAATGGCTCTGGTACATAAATCTATATGTAATCTGCTGTTTCATAACTTCCAAAGCTGAAAGCTGGAGCTGTGCTGAGCCAAACTCCTGCTTTAAAACAGCCTGAGTGATTTCCATACAAAAACTGTCACACACACAACACAGAAGGAGGAAATGAAATGAAGCAACTTCACCCCTTTATTGCCTTGCAAATGTCCCTTTGTTGAAAACACAGAGCCCTTTGCCCAGACATATCAGCCCAACGCTGGCCAGTGTTGTTGCTGTGACAGCTGAAGGCGAGTCACATAGAACTGGAGCTAGCAGAAAGGTTTTCTGTTAAACTTTGTCCTTTTTTATCTTCAGTAACTCATCCAGAGTGAGTAGTACTTTGGTACTTGAGCGGCAGAGTTCATGAAAAGCAGGAACTGAAAGTGGTGCATGTTGATGATCTGACTACATCTAGCTCTCTGTGGCAATGGTGACTGGTTCCAGTTGAGCCAATCAGACTTTGACTGAGGCAAGAGGTAGTTACTGTGTAACAGGGAAGAGGTGCAACCTTCAGCAGACATTTGTTCAGCTCTTATGCAGTCACAACAAGCACTGATCTGTGCGGGTGCTTGTTACACTAACAGAACTGGATAACACAACCCTGTGGACTTCAGTTTTCTTGCATGAAGCTGGGTTGTTTTGCTGCTTGTGACTGAGAAACAGCTACTATGGTAAGTGCTATACTCTTAGTTTAACCCAAGTCTTCATCGTAATAGAATAGAACAATTTTTAATCTTGATACCATCTTGGACTCTAGATCTGTTTGTGTTGTGCTGTTTAACTTTGTTTACTTTGCAACCTTTTGCCTGAGGTTTTCATGTGACAATCACACAGGCCTCTGTAAACTTGCTCTCAACTGATAGCGCTTTTTCCTGTTAACACAGTTGCAGGAAGTGATGTGTGGTCATTTAAAAATTATGACTACAGCTGCTGTATATCTCTGGCAGACTTTCAGGGGATTTTTATATGATGGCAAGACTATAATGGTTTTAAAACACCCAATTTTTACTGACATGTAAGGAGTTCAAATCCAGTGAATTACCTTAAATTGCACAAAGCTTAGAAGCAAACTGTCAGAGGCAAAAACAGAAGCCACCAAAAATTAAAAATGTGCAGATGTCATATAGAACAGGCCTTTTCCAGGGGTCAAGGAATAGGGTAACTTCCATCTTTTCTGCAGCAGTAGAAGTAGCCCTGTACAAAGGAACAGACTGTTACTGCTCCCTCTGAAGCATCATGTGGAAAAAGGCCAAGAACACAGGAAGTCAGAGCTTCTCAGGATTTCACCCTGTAGCAGGAGAAAGAGCCACAAGCAGCTCCAGGCTGTGGATGAGGAAAGATGATGGAATGGCAGCACAGGGTCCAGACTTTCCAGGTGAAGAGTGAAAGCAAAGTAACTTACAGATGAAGCATGTCTGTGGGAACGTCTGCAGCAGTGCCAGCAGGGTTTTGGTTCAGCTGTAGAGAGTGTGTTCGGCCGCTGGGTTACACGAATAACAACTGGAAAAATGGAGGTGACCCTAAACATTTCAACAGTAATGTAGTTAAAACTGACCAAATTCTTTCTCTCAGGCTGAACCGAGCTCTCAGCCGCCAGCCTCTGGCACAACTCCTAAGCTTGACCAAGTGCAAGATCAGGTCAACGAGGTGAAAGTTATTCTGAAAGACAACATCAACAAAGTGCTGGAGAGGGGGGACAGGTTAGACGATCTGATCGGCAAGACTGACGACCTGCAGGCGTCTGTAAGTATCCAGGGTGAGAATCCACCCTGTTGTTTACAAAATGTAATAATCACACTGACTCTTTATATGCGACTGAACCTCAAGGCTGTTAGAAGCATCTTACAGCAGTGCAAAGGGGCTAAATACATTCATGTAACTGAACTTAAGTATTTCACTAAGATTTTTTTTTTTTATACTTCTACCCCAACACATTTCCCCCTCCTGGTAAATATTGCGCTTTTTACTCCTGTGTACTCATTTGGCAGCGAGCAGAGAAAATGTTTATAAAGCAAAATGGTGCTTTCTTATTAATCAAATTAACATAGTTAGCTCATTTGTTTTTTCTACCTTTCTAACTCGTTCATCATGTTCCAGGCCTTGTGAAGGAGCCTGATCCGTAGGTTGGGAAACACTGGACTAAACTAACTATATACATTTATTTTGTCTTGTAATCTCTTACATAAAAACAGTCGGGACCATGTGTCACATTAACGGTTCCATAAAAGAGACCGTTCCCTTCTGAACTACTCAGATGGCTTCATTTGAAAAGGCCCAAAGACACTAAATTATCCAATATTGTATAAAACAGCAAACATTAAAGAAAAGTCCCCAAAAACGAAAACGTGTAGCAGAACTTTTCTCTTCTTCCTCCACCATAAATAATATCAAAACCCCTCACATTTATCATGACTCTCAGAAGGGGCCCAAACCCCAGTTTGGGAACCACTGGACTTAAATATCAAACTGTAAATAAAGTAGGTAAAAGAAGCTCCAGCTGGAGCAGCTACAAAGGTGAAATGCTGCTTCTACACTGACGCATCACGGGAGCATTTTACTGCACAATGAGCATGAATTCTTTTTACTTTAGGATTCTGAATAGTTTTATTTAAACTGGGCCTTTTAGTTAAAAAGTACATCACCATTTTATCACAGTCATCCTACAACATTGTCAGACTCACAACGGAGAATATAAAAACAAAAATCAATGTAGTCGAATGTGAGGCATCATCTTTTTTTCCGTACCTGCATGATTATTATATTAAAATCTCAGTACTTCTTCCCTTATCACCCTTTCGTTTCCGTTTCTTTTCAGGCCGACTCGTTCCAAAGAACATCCACACGTGTCGCCAGGAAATACTGGTGGAAGAACATTAAAATGATGATTATAATTGGTGTAATTGTGCTGGTCATCGTGATCCTCATCATCCTCTTTGCCACTAAGGTTATATGAACCCAGTCTTAGGACCAACAATGACGGAGATGGTGGATAAATCTCATGTGATCATTTCAACACATACGAACGGATGTTTTACATTTCAAGATCAAAAACATGCAAGCACATATGATTTTTTTAACATCTGCAGCCGATTAGTTATTTGTTATAAACTCGGCTGCCACACTTTCTGCAACACTCCAAGTCATTAACATGTGACAGTGCCACCGCTAACATTTCAAACAATCACAAACCCAAATTAGTTTTTATTTTTATTTTGTTGCGTTTAAGACCAACACATTGTGTATATATACTGTAAGGTTATGACTTCAAAACTCTGTAATAACATATGTATTATATGACCATGATAAAGACGATTAATTGTAAGAGCACAGCTTGTATCTCTGCTTCCACACCACTGTGTGTTTGTGTGATCTGCTCCAACCAACCTAACACTTCAGTTATGGAATAAATCAAGCAACTCAGAAACATCATTCGAGAACATTAAATACAAATGAACAAAAAGGGACCAGGAGCCAGCAACCCTTTGCAGAGATCTAAATAAACGCAAAACATCCAACAAATACTGTGGTAAATGTAGAGGAAATGTACTGTAGGTCTTAGTGCCAATCGGCTAAGTGATCTTTGCTGGATACCAACATCGCTGTGGCCTTCGCTCCACCAGTGCACAGCAGACTGTCATCACTCTGAAACCTATGGGAAACAAACAAAAACAAATGAGCTATAGATGAAAACACAGTCAAAATGACAAAGAAAAAAAATCATAGGAATCCCCTGTGTTTATAATGACCAATGTAAAAAGAAAAAACAAACTGAGAACAATTATTTTAACATTTTACAGTTTAAAAAAGTTAGTCCATAAGCTAGAAATCCTGAAGTGCAATAAATTGAAGAAGTCAAAGCCAAAATACTAAATGGAAGAAACCTTTGATTGATCAAAAATACACATTAAAGAAAGCACTGCATGCAAATTTCTGGAAACTTTGAAGCTTCTTGTTTTACAAAAGGTTATAAGAGGAAAATTCGTTACAGGAAAATTAACAAAAGAGGAGTCTTTTCCATCGCTGTCACTAACACAAAACAGAACATTACATGTACAAAAAGTAAAAGCACTTTATCCCCCAACACAGTAGAGTCCAAATACGAACCAGGTTTTAGCTCATGGACTACTGGCTACAAGAGCTAAATAAAGAAACAAGCACTTTAGATAAAGATTAGGAATGCATATATTAACAATAGGAACTGGAAAGGCCAGAGAATGCTGTACATATCCTTTGAAAAGCAAATCGTTATTTTATCATATTTATAATCATTACTTGTGGGGGAGTAAGGGCCTGTAAAAAATGACAATTACATGTGTATATTTAAAGTTTTACATTACAAACAGTTGCAAACAAATTAAAAATGGAAAGAAAGATGACAAAGCTGGACGTGTCCCATATTGTTTAGTTTAGAAATGCTGATACAGGATGTTGTAAGACCATACCAAATGGCAGCATTCGAGAGCGTATGCTTCTCGTACCCGGTCCGCATTGAGCGGGCCCTGAGAGTATCTGGGAGTCAGCTCATGGCCTGCAAGGAAGCTCCGCTGGCAGGTACAAACAAGGTATGTCAGAGTTAGGAGACAACATACTTCCTTTTCTGTTTCCTTGCACATCCTTAACTTTGGCATCCATTTACTGTAGTAGCAGTACTTTACCTGTTAACTTTACAGTTAAAAAAAAAAAGGTGCAAAAGAGGCAGCAGAAGGCCGGCTGTTAAAATAATCGCCACATGAGTGTAGCCTCTATGTTACCACTACTGTAAAGCACTTGAGGGTGCTGAGAGAAAGAAATGTATAAGAGGAAATTATACACAATGTTACCAAACAGCAAAGTAAATTTAACTACTTTAAGTTTAAAGTAAGTGGTGTATTTTTGTCGATACATACCTACTTGAAGATGAGGGTGTCCCCATTAATACGGCTTGTAACTGTTGGTGTGAGTACCACGTCGTGGCGACTTGCCATATCCACCAGACTGATCTACACACATGGTGCAAAACCAGACTTTAGACATGCTTATCATTTAAAGAGTCAAATAACTGAACAGCTGACATGAAAATGAAGCTCATCACACGGGTTTACTCACTGTTGTAGTCATTGTATCCGTAATAGTTGTTGTAGCCAGAGTAGTCATAGCCACCATACCCTCCATACCCCTGGTTACCGTAACCATAAGGGCCATAATTTCCATATCCTTGATTCCAGTAGTTGCCATAACCTTGGTTCCAGTTTTGACTGGGACCTGCAAACGAACAGAATTTAAATCAAAGCCCCACGACTGTTTCACTCCAATAAAAACTTTTTCCAGAATCAATGACATTTTATAGTCAAAGAAATGACGATAATCACTTTCAAACATAGAACCTGTGATTGATACCATTTTATCTGAATGAAATAAAGTTTATTCACCTGAAAGTAATGAGACTTATGAATAACAACAAGATTCAGATGAGATCTACGATCATGTGTTGTTGGCTGAGAAGCCAGAAGTATTAGTTTTTAGTGGTAGCTACTAAATTAAGCATGTCCACAACCTGACAATGGGAGAAGCAGCAGATCTGAAATGTTTGTTACCAAGTTGTGACACAACAAAGTGAGATCCTCCTGATTTTAATGTGCCACAATCAGATGATTGGTTCTCTGGAAAAATAAACTACAAAAACAATTCGCCAGGGGTTCTACAGTGGTGTTACAGAGTCACTAACAAAATTAAAATACAGATTAAACCGAACCCACACCACAACGTCACTACTTGTCACAGAGAACAAAACATAAATCCCAACTGACACAGGTCACAAACTACAGCTGTCTTAATTCTAAGTTTCTTCCTTCAGAACGTGTTGCTCAGCTTGGATTTAAAAGCTAAACAGGAAGCATAGTTTTTATTTACCTGGAACACACTGTGCAAAGCCATGAGTGTCTTCTCCACTTACCCCCACCTCGTCCTCGAGACCTGGATGAGTATCCACCTCTGCCTCCCCAGTACTGCTGCTGCTGGTACTGCTCTTTAGACATCGCCACCTTTACCTCACACTAAAGCAACGCACACATAGTTGATTTAAAATGAAATACACGTCAGCCCCGTTATCAGGGATGCGTTTTATTTCAGAGGAAAAAAGCCTGTACCTTGCTTAGTCCAATATTGTGGTACTTCTTCTCCATGATCATCTTCACTGGTTCCTCCTCTTTAAATGTGATGAAGCAGAAGCCTCGCCTTTTATTTGTTTTGTTCTCCATGGGAAGTTCAATTGACTCTACCTGTGCACATGATCAGTGAATGTATACGTGCTTAATTTGATGATGCGTCTATGAAAGGGAACATTCAGATTTCAAGTGGAATGTAGATCCACTAGAAACAAGTTTATAAAAGAATAAGAAGTGAGCCACAGCATGTCTGACAGCTAAACCTGGGGAAGTTAGACAGACACGTACCTCTCCGAAGGCACCAAAGTACTCTCTGACTTTCTCTTCAGGAGTGTCTGGAGAGAGACCGCCAACAAAGATCTTCTTCACGGGCTCCTTACTCTTCATGGCTTTGGCTTTTTTTGGGTCAATGACCTTTCCATTGAGTTTATGTTCCTTCTGTGAGGCAACCTTTATCATAGCAGAACAATCAAAAGCCAAAAATGTCATGAGAAGGAAACTTGAGCTGTCTGGTTGTCATTAGCCTGATAATCAGAACAAAGTACCATTTTGTGTCATGTCATTCTAGGACAGCAACTGTCTACTTTCTTTATCCATTAACCTGCTGATTGATTTCTCATTTAATTGATTGGTTTTTTTTTCTACTAAATGTTAAAAGTGTGAAAAACACCCAGCAGTTCACAGAACCCACAGTGGTTTACTATGCACACATTTTAGCCACTTTATAGATGTTTAGGTTGTTAATGAGCAACACCATCATACAGACATTTGGTTCACTGTGCATGTCAACAAACACAAACATCCAGCCAGAGTCATAATACTTTCAGAGACAAGAAGAAGAAAAGGCCCTGGTCTCAACATCATGGGATCTACAGAGCCTGAATTCACAGAACTGTGGCAGGTTCTCCAAGATGCTGGAACAACCATACCTGTCAAGTACCTGGAAACACTGTGTGTATGGAGGAAAACTGGTGCCGGTTTAAAGGATGGTCAAATAAAACACGGATTTAATTCTGTTGTGTTCTATTTACTGTACTTTGGAGGAAGTTAATAAATGCAGCTACTCATGCCAGTGTTCTTGAGAGCTTCCTCGCTTTACTTTTAGTGTTTAAGCTCCTGCACGGTAGTGTACATTACGTAAACACAATACCTTGTCAACACTTTCAGGGTCTTTGAAGAGCACAAAGCCAAAGCCCCTTGAACGTCCGGTCATGGGGTCCAGTTTTAATGTGCAGTCGACAACCTCTCCAAACTTGGAGAAGTAATCTTTCAGGTCTTTCTTGGTCGTGTCCCAGCTGAGTCCTCCTACAAACATCTTCCTGTTGACAAAACAAACATTTCGGGTAAAAGAACAAACCGCAGGCTGTCTGCATGAAGACGGGGCTGTAGGCAACGGTTAGTTTACTATTTACACACAACTGTGGTGCCTTAATGGTACTAGTTAAATATTTTTAATTGTGGAGAGTGATATGAAAGCTTGCCCCTCATCCTCCTCGTTTTTACTGGCGTCGATCCTTGATCCCTCGGCCTCGTCCCCCATCAGGCCACAGTCCCCAGCCGCCGACATCGGGTCATCAATGTTTGCATCTCCATCCTCTTCCATTCTCATCATGGTCGAGTCTTCGCTGAATTCATAATCCTCTGACATGTTTCAGCTTTTTACGAAACTAGTTTCTAGCTTACGTTGCACGGCTAAACAACTCGGAAACTCAAGCCACGTTACAATTCCCTGCAGGGGCTAAGTTAGCTCTAAGCTAACGATAGCTAACAGCTAGCTAATATTATGGAACCCTAAATCGTTAGCTAAAACTACTGGCGGTAATTAGAGCAAGCTACCTGGTTTGTAGAAGTGATTCAAATTGTAATGTTAGTGTGAATTTAGGCAAATAACTTTTAGTAAGGCAAAAGTAGTTTTTTGCTACAATTTGCGGGGTATTTTTTCTGCAGTCGTTAAATTTGCGACACAGCTTCTTCTTCTCCTATTGAGCTTTGCTGCGCACTAGAAGCAGCGAAAGACGCATTGATGCCCCCCGAAGGATATTTGTGCGATTACACGGATTCAATTAAAGCCGCTATTGAGTCAGAGAAAGTATCACATTTGATGAGCAATATTTTCATGTAGGGGTCTGTACCTCAAATTTCTGACATTTCTGCCTGTAAGATGCTTCTCTGATTGTGATGGTTGGTTCATAGTGTCTCCATTTACAAACCTACATGTTCCATCAAGGTGTTATTACAGAGGACAAAGGTCAGTTGTTTCTATAACATCAATGCAAATAAACTGTTCTTGTGATCAATACCAAATATTTTCTTCATAAAATAATATGATTTAGTCAAGATATCTTTATGGATTTCCTTTGTTTTAGTTGGTGCCTCCATGGATGTATGAAGGAACCGACCGCCTCCTACCGAGTTGGAGGCTGAACTGACACTTCTGCACATGTATGCTTATTGCTCTTTCACTCAGTGTCTAGTTAGCTCCAGATGCGAGATGATGGCAAGGATAGCTAGCTAGAGACTAACAACCAAACAGGTGTTACATTTCCTCTCCTAGCTTTTGCTCCTCTTCCTCAGCTGTCCTTAGCTAGCGAGGACCAACCCTGCCTGGGTTTAACACTGTGTTAATTAAGCTAACGTTAGCTAACTAGCTGCATACACCTAAAAATGGCCACTGTGTTAATTCCTGCTTGCACCACTGCACTCTTACTGGATATTGAAGGCACTACCACACCAATCACATTTGTAAAGGTAAGTTAAAGAAATTGCTGTTAAGTGTTAAATGCGTACTAAGTGCTAACATTGTTAGTTAGCTAGTTATGTAGCGTTCCCACGGTTATGCTAACGGGGAAGCAGCCGGCCAAACAGGCTTGTAGTGTTTCATTAACGTTAGTTGGCTTTTACCTAAATCTAACGCTGCTTTTTGGGGTTTTGTTTTTATTTTTCTGCCCACTTTCTTCAGTGTTCACTCTTTATCCATCTTACATTACCAGATCATTTAAAATGTAACTGTCAAATTATTTATCTTAAAGTAGAAACAGACCTTATAATGATGCCGCGTTCACGTAACATCGGAGTTGTTGTAATTATGACATCCCTGCTTGTAATAACGTTCAAGTCAACATCAAATTATTATCACGTTGGGTGTTGGGAGGTTAATCCGGAGCCACTTGTAGTCTGACTGGTAATATTTAATGTTTAACACCGATGACCTTGTAGAAGCATTTACGACGTAAAACAACAAATGACACCGGTAACAATACAGGAACACGCAGAAAATGAGAAGTATTAATTCATGTGTTGCACTAACACCTGTATCTTGTACCTGAAATCACACAATGAACTTATTAATTCATGTGTTGCACTAAAACCTGTTTCTTGTACCTGAAATCACACAATGAACTATTTCAGTGCAAATCAGGGTTTCTACTTTCTTCAGTTTGCTTATATTTCACAATAAGAGAAAACCTCAAAACTAATTTAGTGCTACATGAGAAGAGAATTAACAGGATTGTTTCAGCCTGATAGCAGTATATTAGGATGATTAGTTCAACTGCATTTGGGTAAAATACAACAACATGCAAAATATTATGCACAAAAATCACTGGGGACACTTTCAATCTTGATTTTCTTAATAAATGTGATTAAGTCCATTTTGTGTAAGATGTGTCTTTGTCTCTAAGGGCCTCTAAGGAGTCCACATTGTGTTTTACAGGATATCTTATTTCCATACATCAGGGAGCATCTTGAGGATTACCTGTCCACCCACTGGGAGGAAGATGAGTGCAAACAAGATGTTCACCTCCTAAAGAAACAGGTATGGGGAGGAGTGTGGCTGAGCACTTTCAGGTGGTCACTTTGGTAAGGATGTGTGTTTCAGCATCTAGTGTGCTCTGTTCTTCTTTAGGGAGGGAGGAAAATGTTGCCCCTTGCCAAGCATCTTAGTGTATTAGGCCTGTATAACATAATCTTTTAAATTCCTGATCTATCTGTCTGCAGTTTTCATGACTAATTGATTAATTACTGGGTCCATAAGTATAAATATAAAACAAACATTCAGAACGTACCGTATGTTGTGCTCCAGGCTATAATCCTCCCTAATATGAACTGTCATGGCAGATCGAAGAGGATATGAAACAGCATCGTGCATGTCCTGTGCATGCCGTGGACCAGACAGTCCACACAGACGAGGAGAAGGCCATTAGGGAAGTGATGGATAATGTGCTGTGGCAGATGGCAGCAGACAGAAAGTCAACAGCACTCAAACAGCTGCAAGGTCACATATGGAGGTCAGCGTATACTTCGGGGAGAATCAAAGGCGAGTAAGTACAGTGCTCATCTTCCTCACTTCAGAATTCCTACATTTATGCCGATGCTCTGTTCTAACTTGAGAAGCCTGTGTAAGATCTCCACAGTCAGGTAGTTTTCATTTGGTTTATGAAATAATCAGAATCAGCTTTATTGGCCAGGTGTGACGGACACACGAGGAATTTGACTCAGGTACATCGGCTCTCAATGTGCAAAACAGTAAACTGGCATAAAGCTGTGTAATATAACAAAATAGCAGTATTATCAGCAACACTGACAGCAACAAACGGTGCAAACAATGCAGAATAAGCAGTATAAACAGGCAGTAAACAATGCAGACAACAAAGGAATGTTCATTGAAATGAGATAAATAGGGATAAAACAGAGTACTTAAGAACTAGAGATCTGTATGAGTCTGTATAATCTGTATGAGGTATATTTACAGGTATTACACTGAGGGTTATTGTCCAATCATATGGTCATTGGTCAAGTGTTCATCAGAGCGACAGCCTGGGGGAAGAAACTGTCCCTGTGCCTGGTTGTCTTAGTGCACAGTGACCTGTAACGCCGTCCAGGGGAGAGGAGTTCAAACAGATTGTGTCCAGGGTGTGAGGGGTCAGCAGTGATCCTCTCCACCCTCCTTTTGACCCATGAGGTGTACAGGTCCTCCATGGAGGGCAGGCTCACACCAATGACCTTTTCTGCAGTCCTGACTGTCTGCTGAAGTCTGTACTTGTCCTGTTTGGTTGCTGAGCCAAACCAGACAGTGATGGAGGTGCAGAGAACAGACTGGATGATTCCTCTGTAGAACTGTATCAGCAGCTCTTCCTAATGAAAAGTGGGTGCACTCTTGGGCAGGAGGAGCGGCCATCAGGTGGTGCCATATTTGAGCTGTTTATCTTCTGATGTTGTTGCAAACAGGATCTACCAGGATGTAATTCCATCCATTAAAATATGGAGGGGGCAGGGCCTAAAAGTCTACATTTACTCCTCTGGAAGTGTGGAGGCACAGAAACTTCTGTTTGGATATTCTGTGGAAGGAGATGTTTTAGATGTAAGTACCATCACCTGTGTGATCAGTCACTGTTTCAGTACAAACACACTGATGTTAGTTTAACCTTTTGTCTTTGTTCACCAGTCTTGTCGTTTTTCTCCATCTTATGATTGAAAGAACTTTTGTCTTGGAAATACATTTTTCTATGTTAGGGGCAACTATAAACTCATGCTGTTAATATTCTAAACATTGTCTAATGGTGTTTTGTTTTGAATCTTTCCAGTTATTTGATGGTCACTTTGACACAACTATAGGGGCTAAAATAGATGGAAAAAGCTATGAGAGAATTGCAGAGAGAATTGGCTGTCAACCACAGGAGATCACATTCTTGACAGACGTTGCTCGAGGTAAGTTATGTTTGTGATTCTTTTGAGCACTGGGAAGACGGTGTTTTGCTTACAGTATCTGAAAGAAAGTTTTACCTGCAAAACCACTGACATTTCCATCAAACCTTAACAGTACTTAGTCTATCCATACATGATCTACCATTCAGGGTTGCTCATTTGCATGTCTGAAATTTGGAATGTATCTATTCGCTCCTGCATTTGTCCTTGCAGAGGCGAAGGCAGCTGAAGACGCCGGGGTGAACGTGGTGGTGGTGGTCAGGCCTGGAAACCTAGAGCTGACAGATGAAGAGCGGGCCCATTATAATCTCATCACATCCTTTAGCCAACTTGAACTGACAGGATCAGCTTAACACAGTGTGGAGGAAGACAGGGAGAACCCTTTATTTCCTTTTTTTTTTTTTTGCTCCTCGCGGTTGTTTTGCAACTCTAATGTTTTGTGTTTGGTCCATGTTCGAGATGTGTAGCAGATGCTGCTGGGACCACAGTTAGCCACCAGTAGGGCTAATGCAGTCCCAGCCTCTGAAAGCTCGTGTTTCCAGTTCTGAATGGAACATCACTGTCTTTGGACCATCTGACTCACTGGGAAGAGACCAGAAAAGCTGTAGATACATGGTGCTGCACATGACCTGTAAGGTTACCTTTTTACCTTTTAGAAGGACTGTATCCGATTACCGGCCCTGAACCTCGTCAACATTAATCAAACTTTACAGCTGTATGTGTGAGTGTGCTGTATTTATCACTATTTTGTACATGTTCCACCTGTTTCCTCCTCTACATGTACAGATGTGTTGCAGCTGTGCTACGTTTTATCCAGTAACTGAACTGTAATGTTTTATAAAGTAGAAATAGATGTTCTCAGCAGAGAAGGCTGCTGACAGAGTTCTCATTTCAGACTTTGTTCAAATGTCTTAATTAAACCAGGTGAATGGTGTCTATTTTATTGTACCATCCTCATTGCTCAGCGATAACGTGGGTCTTGGAAAGTTACCTAAAAAATTGCCAAACTGATATTTATGTGTGAAACATAATTGGTATTGTTCAGGAAAAATACTTCCAATAAAATGCCTTGTCTCACACACTCCTGTCTGGTCCCTCAGTCCGGCTGTTCATGTGACTACAGAAGATACAGTACTAGGCAACAGTCGCACGTGTTCCACTAAATCATAAACTGCTTAAACGCCAATTCACACACATCCTAAAGCAAGTTATTCACATATCCCTTGACATACAGATACTAGTTATGTGAGAGAGAGGACGAGGAGTTTGATGCCACTCATTTTTTTGTACCACAAGGATAACTTCCTACCACTCTCATTTTTTTTGTACCACAAGGATAACTTCCTCCTTACTGAGCTTTTAGAGGAAGTGGTAGGTGAATTATCTTACCTTGGAACCAAGTCAGGTTGGCTGTTTCCCCTTGTTTCCAGTCTGTGTGCTATGCTAAGCTAACTGGCTGCCCATGATAGCTTCATATTTAGCATACAGCTGTAAGACTTAAGTGTGGGCAAAAAAGAGCATACATGTACAGTAATGCCAAAATATCTAAAGTATATCCACAATCCTCAGTCCAGGATCGACATAAAACTGAATGGGGCAGATTTAATTCAGTTTAGTCATCTGTGCACTCATTTTAGGAATCTATGCACACGGATTCTCACCTAAATATTTTTTTCTACCACATGACCCCTCAATGGTTGTTGTAAAAACTATTTCAATTTACATTTTAATACTGTGGTTTTTACTTTCACACCTCGTTCTTGCCTTTTATTACTTAATTTAGTAAATAAGGGTTTTTACTCTGGCAGTGTCCCTCTCTCTCCATTTGTTGTGACCTTTGAGCAGGGAAGTAACACACCATAAGCAAAGCTAGCTGTTTCACAACTTTATGCTAAGCTAAATGATTGCTGGCTCTGGTTTCATACTGACTGTACAGACACAAGAGTGGTGTTTATCTTCTCATCTAACTCAGCAAGAAAGTGAATACACTTACTTACCATAATGTCAAGCCATTCCTTTAAAATTCTGGCTTAAGGTAATGGGGGAATGAATTCAACAGCCTGACAGTTTTCACTAGAACAACACCATGAAACCAGGTGGTGCATTTATAGACATATTTATTGATAATGATTGTAAGCTATGCAAACTTGCACTTTAAGATACAATCCAAGACTCATAGATTCAGTTACCCCAAAATGAAAACATTTAAAAAGTTACAAAAATATACATTTTAATAATAAAAAAGTTTAAACCCAGTTTTCTAATTAAAACAACCTTTACACAAAGAAGACAGATTGATTAACTGAGCTGACTTTTGGTGACATACAGTATTAAAAAATACTTTTAACACATGTAGAAAATGTGTAAGATTGAAACATTCATATACGCCCGATTGCTGGCCGGGATTGGTTCCGGCCCCCCCCCCGTGACCCCGTGCAGGGACTAAGCGGTAGAAAATGAATGAATGAATATACGCTGTGCAGTGATCATGTCTCTTGTGGTAAAGCTAGTGTAACTGAACATTTACAGCTGTTTGGATGGAACAGATGCCTCGTTCAGCTGTACCTGTCGATCTTCGAACGGGACCCAGTGTAACATCCCTACAGCTGGTTGGGCGTGGACATTTCAGTCAGGGGTTCTGACAGGCACACAGGACGTTGACAGTTGTCTGTGCACACTATGTCGAAGCGGCTGTGACGAAACTCGATGGCAAAAGTGCCAAGGAAGATGAAGAAGAACATGACCAGCGACCACTGGCACTGAGTTGCATGCATGTGGAGGCCCTGAGACATCAGGCAGATATCTGCGCAGGCAGGTTAAGGTTGAGACATGAAAGTGAAGGATTACAGTACACGAAAAGAGAATAAGGCAGCTTGTGTGCTGATAATGTCAAGCTGAAAATTTCCACCTCTGAACCTCGGTTAGAGGGACTGTTGGGTTCTCGGTCTCCTCCCTGACCAAGGCCCAACTCTAAGAGTCCTGGTGGTTCCAGCCTTCTTCCATAAACAGGCTGATGATGTGTAAAATCAGTGTATTTCATCTTAAAGTGGGCATTTTCAAGAAATCGATAGAGCCACAGTGTCCCCTTGGGCATTTTACACTATGTTCTGATCATACTGTATACATTATACTGTAGTTGCAAAAATAATCAACAGGTTAAATGGTAATGTCTGTAACTGTAAGTTGTAGCCCTTTATCATTTAAATTCATTCGATGTTCACTTCTCCCTGAAGCTGATCTGAGTGAAAGGATACAGAGTATCACACAGGCAGTGATGGATCCAGACAACAGGACGCGAATGATTCCAACCTTCTTCCCCTCATTGTTCAGGTTCACTTTCAGGGTGATGTAGGATTGCATCCAGCAGAACAGCGTTCCTGCTCCAAATGCCAAGAAGGTGCCCAAGTTGTGAATCATCTCCTTAGTGAACAACTAAAACCAAAACAATAAAGTTCAAGTCTCCATCACCGGCAGGTGAATCTACAAACAGGTATATACACAAGGATCTGCCAAGGATGTGTTACCTGGAAGTTTCCAACTAGTGTCATTCCAAAGCAGGCAACAGAGAACGCCACGAGACAACAAACATTCAGCCATGGTTTGTCTATTCTGTGTCTGAGCTGAACGTATCTGAGGACGGCAATAATAAACCCTGGAATAGAACAGGAACCAGTGGAGAATTAATAAGAGTGAAAGATGGACTGATAAAACTCGTGGCACAAAACCGTGTCGGACATTACATGTTTTATGGCAACAATATGTCTGGGTTAGGTGTTAGTTACTGTGTGTGTGTGTGTATCACAGCCTGAAGCGTCTCCTCCCTCTGAGCCACAGAGCTCCATCGTGTCCAGACACTAAAACCACATCAGTGACCACTGTTGCACTGATTCCTCCATCACCATGAGCATACCTTGTAGTTTATTCTGACTCAGTCACACATACACTGTCCTGCTGCATCAAATAGTAGAGATCAAATGTGGATTCATCTGCAGCTGAAAATAGTCCCTAACAATCACACTATTTCCATCTGTCTGAATAACATTAGCTAAAAACTACAGTAACCAGCAGTTTTGGCTCATTTAACTGTGTATTTATAACCAGACTGGTTTTGGTTTTCCAATGACAATAAAAAAAAGATACACAATATTTCTGGCCTTATCACGTACACATCAGTGTTTACACACGACCGGTGCACTGGTGCTCGTACCCACAAACGCTGCCAGGTTCGTGACCTCACTGAAGATGCAACTGACTGGTGGAAAGTTTCCGGCAACACTGAGAGAAGAGAAAGGGAGAATACTGTATTTGCTGTTGTTACATTTACACAATAACTATGTAAAAGGAAATCACAAGTTATGTACCTAATGTATGGAGGATAAAAGGATCCATTTCTTCTCCTAAAACCAAAGAAAATATGATTAATAAAAATCTAAAATGATTAGTTGCCTTACAGAATATTGATTTGATTCTTACTTGGCCTGTGATCCCAGGGGTCTTATTGTCTCATTCTTCACAGCTAGAAAATATCTGTTAAAATCCACAAGGGAACATAATGTTAGAGATGATTAAAATGATAATTTACTGTAATATCACCTGGTACCGGGGTAAGGTATGGTGTCTGAGTGATGGACATCACCTGACTGTAATGAAAAACAATATAAATGGCCGCACATTGAGCTTACATCATTCATTATGAGTGCCATCATTTTGTACCACAGTAGATACACACTGAAACTAAAATTATACCAAATACTTCAACACACTATACAAAATATTAAAAGGACATCATGAAAGAAAACCTGAGATGCTGATTCTAGATTTCTTAAAGAGAAGCTATTCTGCTACTAATTTTTACCCTTATTTCAGTGTTACAGTAACCTCAATATGTTGTGCAGCTGTAATATGTAATTCAGTAATTCATCCAAACTAATGGACCTGGTAGTTAAACATAGTCCTATAATTAATAGAACTTACATGGCCCACAGACCAGCAGCAGAGCACACAGAGTAGACGGGAGGGAGAAGAGCCCATAGGCTGAAGTTCCACATCGTGTCTCCTCTGACACCACCGAAGAAGAAGCTCCTCTAGTTTGTAGGGAAGATATTAATCTCTGCTACTTGTCAGAGATAAAACAGAGATAAATATCACCATTCAGCATGGGCAGAGCCGGTGGGTGACTGGTGCATCCTTTTTAGAAGACGGCACCCGTGTTTGTGTAGTGTTAACAGTTTATATTTTGATTACATTGCATCAGAATTAAAGAATAAGTTTAAAACCGGAAGTGAGTGACTAAGTCAGTATTCTCAACAACAGCAGAACACAACACCGCTCCATGTGTACACAAATAATGAGGGTTGAAAGCTGTTTCCGTTGTCTGGCTGTAAACAAAACAAAAATACTGACCGTACCAGTCCTACCTGCCCCGTGGACGAAGCTCGGTGCCTCGGTTTGGCCTGGAAGCTAAATACTGCACATAAAGTCTTTCAAGATCCCCTCCACTGTTTTCATCCAGACACACTGTGTTTCCACTGGACGGCAAACGTCAGTCGAACTTGTTGAATCAGCTTTCCGCTAGTTTTAGCATCGCGCAGCAGAGACTTGTTGAATCAGTTGTTTCTTACTCCGCTAGTTTTAGCATCGCGCAGCAGACAGGCGTCAACCCGAATCCATCCCATGACTGCATAACATCGACTCGTCTCGGGGAGTGATTGGTTCATTTTGTGTTGACCGCGCATGCGCAACATCGCATAAGCTTAGTACGCCTTTCGAGTAACATGATCTGACCGCTGTGTTGGATACAGAAATTAGTAAATTTTCAACCGTGCATTTTTTTTTTACTCTCACCGTTACGTGATGCATTTATTATAAAATAGCTTTTTATTTCCTACAGACTATAATTGTGGTTATTTTCCATAACACTGAATGTTTTAATAAAGAGTTGGTTAATAAACTTCATCAGGGAAAATCTTTCTGTAAACTATACAGAAGACGGCACAGCTTATCTTAGCTTAGCTTAGCTTAGCTTAGCTTAGCTTAGCTTAGGATGTTATGTGACAAAAGACCAAACGAATTTGACCCAAAATATCCGGAGGTGAGGTGATGACGTAACAGACTGCATAGCCTCAAGACACAGGTACGATATAATATGACCTTGGCTGCATTACAGTTCTTTCTTATTGGAAACGTGATCAATATGTGCGTAAGTAGATGGGGAATTAACAAGTAACATTTTAATTACATTCTGCTGAAATGAACGAAATGACTCGAAAAAAGGATTCGTTCATTTTGCTGAACGAGATTCAAAGAACCGAATCAGTAAAATGATCCGAACTTCCCATCACTAGAAAACACCCAGAGACACGTGATCAACAGCTGCTGCTGCTTCCGGGGTGGAGACACAGCTGTACGAACGGCGCTTTCTGGGTTTTGTTAGCGCCAAAATTAAAAAGGGAAATTTTAGCAGCGTTCGTTTTGAATTAAGAAACTTGATTGATTATTCGCCGAAAATGCCTTTTACTCCAAAGAGGCCCTGTCCCGATTCAATGAACGACTCGATGGAGAAGAGGATAAAGCGGGTTTCAGTCGAGGGAAACATTGGTGAGTGCATCGCTTCTGCTCACAAAAGTGGGATTTCACATTACAAACTATCCTAAAATCTTTGCCTGCTGGTGTTGCTGACGGCCAGTACATCAAGCTAACTTAGTGGGTGTCTTCAGGCACAGACGGACTGTTTAACATTACGTGTTAGCCCCAAATGCCACACTACTATCAAAGCATCTAGTAATCTTTGTCTTCACTAACTAATTTACGTGCACAATGTGTAACTAGCTGCTATGTCCCTTGTGTGTTATTGTTAAATGTGACTCTACGGTTATGCGTCCTTTTTGTGCAGCGGCGGGCAAGTCCACCTTTGTGCGCCTTTTGGAGCTGGAGAGCGCGGACTGGGAGGTAGTACCAGAGCCCATCGCCAGGTGGTGCAATGTCCACGCAAACAGCGGTGACTTTGAGGTACTGACATACAGTGAGCTTCCAATGATGATCCTGTTTCAGTTTGAGCAGATGACATCCTCACACCACACCACAGAACATGCTGTCAGGTAGCTTTACATCACTACAAACATAAGGATAATCACCTTTATTGGCCAAGTATGTTACACACAAGGAATCTGTTTCCAGTACAGAACCGAGGCAGCCATCTGTGGCGCCAACTCAACCAATGGCTCTAACCATCGGGGGCAAAGGGGGGGTGCGGTTCAGTGTTTTGCCCAAGGACGCGTCGACATTTGGACTGTAGGCACCAGATTCGAACCTCCAAACTTCCGGTTGATGACTGCTCTACCCACCACACCACTGTCGCCTTCCATCTTTTTTTTTTACTGCCAGTTTGAGTTAAAATCCTTGTAGGCTGTTTAACAGACTATTAATCAGGAATGAAATTCATTATGCTCCTCCAGAGAAACATGAGCCTCCATTCCTCAGGTTCAACACGCAGACAGTGCACGTGTTAACCTTCAGTAATTGGGAGAATCTTCATCTGTATTTACAGTCAGCTGCCATTTGTCCATATACAGTCGAAGAAAAAGTAATGGCACTGTTTGCAATTTCCTGGTTTTCTGCATAAATCTGTAATGACGTGATTTGACCTTCACCAAAGTCACAAATATGAAACACAATATTTCTAAGCTGATAAAACACAGTGATTTTTCATGTCTTTATTGAACAAACTGATTCCAGCTACATGCAAATCAATAGCTCTTGATCGTAGCTCTTCTGAGATCTCTTTTTAGTGGGGCATTGCTCACATTAGCTGACGCTGCTTAGGAGTAGCACACTGACACTGAAGGTTTTTATAAGCTGGTTCTAAACCACACCTCTATTCTCATTTCATTGGACGCCAGGTTTGCTAACACCTGACTCCAGTGGATGTTTAGTGACATGAGAAGCCTTGTGTTGCTGTGACTTTTTCCACCATCACTTTGTATTTTTAATGGGTGTGTTCAGTAAAGACATGAAAGATAATGACAGTTTTATCAGCTCAGAAATATTGGGTTTGGAAATATTTGACTTTGGTGAAGATCAGATCACACTTCCTGACCAAGTAATGTAGAAAACCATGAAACTGCAAACAGTGTCACTACTTTTTCTTTTGACTGTATGTGCACCAGCCACCGCTATACCAGCACCCAGTGGACCAGACAGTCCCATTCGGGACAGGGAAAACATGTCAGACCTCACATACAACTGCAGGCCCTCAGCTTCATTTTCAGTGGCTGAGCACACACACACACACACACACAGTAAACCAGTGCCACTGTAGGTCTAAGAATACACAGGATACACAGGATATTCAGGTGCTTAATATGTTTGAGGCAGTATCACATCTCTCTTATCTATCCTGATGATGAAGACTCCTCAAACAACCAAATTAATTTCATTTGAAAATGTAATCAGGTAATGTACAGTAGGTCCTGTATTGGGGATGAGTAATCCCAGCCGACAATCGACCGAAGGTGGGGTACACCCTGGACAGGTCGCCAATCCATCACAGGGCTAACACATAGACAAACAACCACACACACTCCTATGGGCAATTTAGAGACACCAATCAACCTAAGCTGCATGTCTTTGGGAGGAAGCCGAAGTACCCGAAGAGAACCCACGCAAGCACGGGGAGAACATGCAAACTCCACACAGAAAGGTCCCGGGTGGGGCCCGAACCCGGAACCTTCTCGCTGTGAGGCAACAGTGCTAACCACTGCGCCACTGTGCTGCCCAAACCTAACCAAAATATTAATAATACAAAGAGTAGTTTAGAGCTGTCATGGTAAGTTGATTAATTGAGCAACAAAAGATGAATTAGTAACACTAACATAATGCCAATAACATAAAGTGCCAAACATTCTGAAAATAATGTTTAGTTGTAGACCTACAGTAACTAACAACTGTACAAGGCACATTAAATATACCAGCAAAGGTGTCATTTATTTCAAAAGGCAACTAACAGCTTGACACTCAGACTGTGAACCATGCTCTTTGAAATCAAACACCTACTGAAAATTCAGATTTTACCAGTACGGTTCCTGTGTAGGTGTTTAGTTTATGTACAGTTTTAAATTCAGCCTGTCCCTAATGTCCCAGGAGCTGACCACATCTCATGTTTTAAATTCGGCCTTTCCTTAATGTCCCAGGAGCTGACCACATCTCAGAAGAGCGGGGGGAATGTGTTGCAGATGATGTATGAGAAGCCAGAGAGGTGGGCCTACACCTTCCAGAGCTACGCCTGCATCAGCCGGGTGCGTGCTCAGATCAAGTCAGCCAATGGGAAACTGCGAGAGGCTGAGCATCCTGTGCAGTTCTTTGAGCGGTCCATCTACAGCGACAGGTATCAGTGGCACAAAGGACGAACGTTTAGGTCTAGTACCAATAATGAAATGTTTTTATTCAAAGGGCCGTGGTGGTGAATTTGTATGTTTAAGACTATTAACTTCACCCAAGTATGAAACTCAGCTGCTTGATAATGACTTGGTAATCATCACTGTGAGTTAGTTAGCTGCTGTTTGTTTAATGCTGCAACAGTTCAGGGGACGTTAACTAACATTTAATACCAGTATAAACACAATATCTTTTGGTTTTGGACTGGTGGTTTGGAGATGTCACCACCACCTTTGGTAAATTATGTCATATTTTATGCACAAAATTATTACTGTACTAATCAGAGAAACACGTCAGGTTACCTGATAATCAATGAACTTGTAGTTGCACTTACCAGCGATGAAATTCGTGGATTCTACAACATCCCAAAGCCTAAAAATGCTAAAACACTTTTTAATAGTTCAGAGTCCATGTTGATTCCCTCTCCTGTATTCCTCTTGTCCCAGGTACATCTTTGCCGCCAACCTCTATGAGAGCGAGTGCCTGAATGAGACTGAATGGTCTGTGTACCAGGACTGTCACAGCTGGCTGCACAGCCAGTTTGGCAAGCACATAGAGCTGGACGGGATCATCTACCTCCGAGCGACACCGGAGGTACTCTCCCTGGATTCTGCTCGATTACGTCTAAATAGAACGATTTTACTATTAGCTGTTAAAAATGAAACGACACTACACATAAAAAAAACTCACATTTTTGGTGTGTGTCAAGAAATGTTTAGAAAGATTGTACCTGAGAGGTAGAGAAGAAGAACAAGACATTCCTCTGGAGTATCTGGAGAAGCTCCACTTCAAACATGAGAGCTGGCTGCAGCACAGGACCATGGCGTGAGCAAACACACACTCACACACACACACACTCTAACCTTTGTGGCCTGTTTACACTGGTATCTGTGAGGAAAAGAGATGTATCTGTATTATAGAAAAAAGAAATCTCCATCACACTGTGCTAATTAATCTGACTGATCTTTGGTATCAGGAAAAAGACCTTGTTCATGCAACAGCCTGAGGGTAAATAAGCGTAACAGTTCCTGAACCATGTGATCTGTCACATGAATGTGTTAGAAATGGACGAGGGTGGAAAACGTTGTTCCACAATGTGCACAACATTAAAGGGCAAAACCGAGGAGTCCTAAAAAAATGATGCTGTTTTCTGGATGTGAATTGTTCAGTCACCAACTGTGTGGCCCATTTCATCTCTGGCCCACAGCATGGAGTACGAGTATCTCAGTGACGTTCCAGTCTTGACTATAGATGTGAATGAAGACTTCAAGAGGAACGATCTGAAGAGAGATGACATGGTTAAGAAGGTGCGTGACATTTAAACCTAAAGATTTTAAATCATCAATAATGCTTCTGGACTCATCTCTGAATGTGAAATATTTAGTAAATGTCTATTAAATTCATACTTTGACTTGTTTACACCTCCAGGTGAATATTGTATTTTTGACCTCTCTTTTTTTGCAGCTGCATTTAGTAGTTTCTTTACAGATTTAATATTTTATCTAAAAATATACCAAGAGATTACACATTTTGTAATGTAGTAGTTCATTCATTGGCACCAGCTCCAACATTAAGATGCTGCTTACATACTAATGCATCAGTAATAATAATCTAATGTCAGATTAAATATAATAATGGCAACACTACAGAAAACCTCCAGTTCGTTACGTAGTTCTAATTTCTGTTGACCTGGTGACTGAAGGTCACAGTGTTTGGTTCAATCAGTTTCATCAGTTCATTCAGTGACCCCTTGTGCCCTGTGCATGGGGCGCTGTCATCCTGGAGGAGACCCCTCATTTAGTCAGGGTTTCCTTTGGTTTGTCACGTCTGTGACAAACCCTGTGTGACGCCTGAGGAGCTGCTTGTGTAGCGGTTTGATGGTAAACACGGGCACTTTTTAAGATTTCACTCCCATTCCGATGGCATTAGGAAGAAAAGGGGCCCAGATACACAATACTTTGTACAAATGACATAAAACTGGAAATGAAAAAAAGGAAATCGGTTATAATTCTTACTAACAGCTTGTTTGTTGCTTTTCAGGTGAAAGAGTTCTTGAGCACATTGTCTCCTGATGGAAAACAGATGACGCCATAACAAGGAAATGTGGATCAAGTATTAATTTTAAAACAATGAAATGTCTCAACAGTGACAGCTGTTCCTAAAAAATTTTTGTACTTCTTTTTGTACAAAATATTTTGTAATATTGCTGATTTGTATGTATTTATATGTATTACTGTGTGAAGTGGTTTTTAAAAAGTCACAATGAACCTGAAATATTTTGAATAATTTTGTGTTTTAGTTTTGTAATACGTCCTCTGATGTCCCGATAATGTAAAATAAGTCCAAATGTGGAGTGAAATCGTGGGCGTTGTTGGAGCAACAGTGTCCTGTTTATTGCAGGTGCTGCCAGTTCCCCCGTCTCGCCACAAGGTGTCGCCATATTAGCACCTCACTGAGCCAAGTTCGGCTGCCCAGCTTGCTTGACCCGGTAGCTCCAGTAGGAATTGGTTAAAGCTACCTGAATTAGATGCTACTAACTTCTATTTAAACGCCTCACAGTGCACAGCAAGATGAAACTTCTTGGTGCAGAGTAATAAACATCATTGCTTAAAATCAGCTGGCTGTGGTTATATGTCCAGTTAATATTACAGATTATATTGTGTGTCACAAAGATGCGCGATAAATGTTCATGCTGTGCAAGTAGCCCACTCAGTGAAGGGACAAACTGGAAAAGCTGCACTGTAGGCACAAGCTCATCTAACAACTGGACCTGTTAGCTATGGGATATCCAGACAAGATGCTCCAAGTGCTTTATTGTTTAGAATTGTTCACATCATTAGATCTGAATTATGAGATGAATTCATAACTTCATCTTTCATGTCCAAACTGAGCAACAGAACCTACTTAACAAGCTGGTGTTTGGTGCGCCACCTTGGAGAAACTTTCTGACCTCCACCCCCTGGTGGCGTCACGCAGGAGGAGGGATGGCACTTTATATATGGAAAAAGAAACGCTGCACTCCGAGAGTCTCCACACTTCTATCGAGCCTCTTCGAGATGTTACCTAAGTCCAGTACGATGTGAGGATCGCGTGTTACGTGTTAAATTTGGTTTGTAGATAGCTCATTCCAGCGAGATAGCTCCAGCTGCTCGACTTCTTTGTTGTATGCACGTGAAAAGCGCGACAGCCAGAGAAGAGAAGACAAACACTGACTAGAAGGGCTGCTGGACGCCGGACTGATCATCCTTAAAGGCGAATTTGGTCACCATGAGTTCCGAAAAGAGCAAGTAAGTTTATGACCGTTCCTCTCGTTAAACCTAGTTGCAGTCCACACATTAGGACCATCTCCTGGCCAGGTGAAAAGGCCACCAAGCATCAAGTCAATAGAATTCACTTAATACCTGAACACATTCAAAGTGCTCTCCAGCGTCATTAGATGGTTCTCTGCGCATAAATTCCAGGTTTGGTTGGCCAGTGATTCCATGCCTTTGGCTGGACTTCTGTATATTATTTATTGGGTTTTATCGCTTTAAGAAATGTTTTCTTTCATTTGCGTTACACCCTTGGCTTGATAAGCCACTGTTGCTACATCACTGTGGCCATGGCCACTGCCGGTGATTTATTTCCCAAGGAGCTATCGCTATCTATTAGAGATGCAGTGGAGAGCTTGTCTTCCGTGCACATTTCTTAGCAAAGCTGTATGTCTGCCTCGCACATCATGTGGTCTGTGAGTTGACACCCCAAAAGTCCACATTAAGCGCGGGCCAGCTTGCGTCCACAGTGCGCCATGACGCAGATGCCGGAGCTGCAACAAATCAGGCTCCGCGGTTACTGTCAAATACGGAAATCCACTTATGTGTCAGCATGCACTTCTCTGATAATGCACTGGCAGTTCACCAGCTGCTTGCTTGGTAATTCTCCCCTTCAGTTAGTGTGGGGTAGTTTATTGATTTTGGCATTTACAGTATCTACTCAGTGCATGTAGGGCACAGTCTCAAGTTTTACCAGCATGACTCTGAGTAGCAGGGTATAGCATATAAACCAAGGATCTACAGTGCATAACCATGGCTGGATGCTTGGGCTTCCCTTAACAATGGCAGCAGAAACTAAAAAACACAAAATGATTCCTCATTCCTGCATTTTCTCCTAGAGACTGTGAAATCTGGTTTGCAAAGGGAAAATGTGTTTATCTTTTCATGCCATCAAGTCAAGTGCATGACCTCCTGTCTGTGATAACTGGAATCCTTTGTGCTCAGTGCTGAGGGAATATCCCACAAGCTGAGGCTCACCAGAGAGACTGACAGGCAGTTACAGTAACAACAATTCAGTTATTGCTTAAAACAGGTACATAGAATGCGTCCCACGTCACCTCCCTCTGACCTACTTAGTGGGACATGTTTTAAATCAGCCAATTTGATGTGCAAACCTAATTTAATCTTTCTATAATGAATATCTTTGGACTTGATAGGACAAAAGTCTGAAAACATCTGAGTCTGACATTTGTTTTATTGACAGTTAATTGGGGAAACTGTATAATTGATATGAAATTACATTTAGTTGTAGTCCTAAAATAATTCTTCTCTCAGTATCACTCACCTTTTGCTGACTTCAGGAGGCACGTGGCCATGAAAGATCGTACTTTCCTCAAACATGGATTACACTGACTGGTTTTAGGACTTTCTATGGAGGTTTTAATTCTTTAACTTTTAAACACTGAAATTCATTGTAACTGTCTGAATTCAAGCTGACCACAGTGTCCCTTGTTTTTCTGCCAGAGCTAACTTAAAAATGTCTTACAGCTGCTTTCAAGCCTTTTTGTTTGATACTCAAAGATCACCTTTGGGTGGAGCATCACTTTTAGGGCCCTTAAGTGATCACTATACTGCTTGTTACACTGCCTGTGCTGAGGGCACCTACACTCATTGTGAATCTTCCTGGTGGGACTGGGTGCATCATTCTGTAAAGCGATGGGGATGATTCCTGATCCCGAGCAGCTGATCCTGGCTCTGCACGGGTCGACAGGTTTATCCAGCCTCATGAGATAACTGAGAACCTCACCAACATGAGGTGGACGCAGCTGTTTGCTCTGACCCTCACTGTTTTGGTTCCTGCTACAGGTACCTGGCTGTAGCCTGAGAGTTAAGTCATTTAGACGTTGCTAACTAATGCTGAGGAGTAGATCCAAGTTTCCTATCCTCTGTTCACCTTGCTGCTATTTCTATTTATCCCAACATCACCTTAGACTTTTGGCTAAATTCACCAATCTGACAATTTTTATATCCAGGAATGCTGAACTCTTCTCCTGCATCCTGGATGTTTGTCTGAAGTGATTAACATGACACTGCACATTGGTTATAGCCAGCAGTAAACCTGCAACATGAGATCCTTTTGCTCTCTTGTGTGGTTTTCTGAGGCAGTTTCCTGAAAGCCCTCTCACTGCCTCCATTCGCAGACACACACACACACACACACACGCACACACACACCATCACTAACACTTTGACACCTGTTGCAGATGTAAATGGTACAAGACGTTCCTGGAGAACGTTCCATGGCTATAATATCCTACAAAAGATATGTACAATGTTTGTGTAAGAATGAATTCAAATAACTCCACCTATTTACTTTATAGTTTTGTCTCTTCTCTGTTCACTGACCACATGCTCACTGCTACATGAGACTGTATAAAAGAGCTGCTGAAGTACAAGTTCTTCACAAAATAGAGAGCAGTGTGACCAGCCGGTGTGGTACTTCCTGTACTCCCTGTCCTGGATAGAAAGAGTACAATCAGAACAGAATGTGCAAAGAAAAGATAACTTTGACCCTCTCCACATGGCATCATGAGAGAACTCAACCTCTCTTTTGTGTAAGGGTAATGAACAACAAAAGGGAGAGTATAGAGGACAATTAGTGTATTAGAATTGCTGGTAAACTTGGCACTAGGCCCAGCCACTCCTCATTAATCGTTTGATCTTGGAGCAGGTGACTCAACATTACGCCTGCTATCAGCGTTCTACGTCTGTCTATCTGCTTCATAGGCCAGATATCATGTCCACTCAGGGAATTTTAATGAGCTTGTAATGAAATCAGAGGAACAAGATGTATCCTTCCTGACTTTGTTTGTTTAGCACTTTGTGTACACTGCTTCCATTCCCTAATTTTTCAAATTGTCAGCCTCAGTTTGTTTGTTGTCAGACTGAAACTTCTTATGTTTATTGACATTGTTGATATGCATCCTAAATCAAATATTTATTTTTTGGTGTTTAGCAAAACTATTCTCCTAAAGCAGTTGGGTCAGCTTCGACCATGGCAGATGAACTCTTAATTTGACACTGGCATGTTTATGTAGTGTCAGAACAGTTTGAAGGAATTAATTAGAGGTTGATTGGAGACTCTAAATTGCCCATAGGAGTGAGTGAGTGTGTGTGAGTGGTTGTCTATCTTTACTTGTCAGCTCTGTGACAGACTGGCGACCTGTCCAGGATAGACCCCACCTTGCACCCAATGTCAGCTGGGATTGCTCCAGCTCCCCGCGGCCCTCATCAGGATAAACGGATGTATGGATTTCCAGTGTGCTCACACTGTGCTAGACTGGAAGAGCCACATTCCTACTGAACGTCCAAAAGGTTAAGGCTTGATGAGTGAAGGGAGCTCCAGGTAATATAGTGTAGAAAGATGGCCCTGACTTTGTCGGGACCAGGAAGTAAACATGAGGCCTTCTGTGTGCACTAGAATCCCTACTATGACTTATAATATAGCTACATTTCACTGTGATGGATTCTGTTATAAATGTACTCACTGAGGAAAAGGAACTGTTTTGTTAACGTTTGCAGTAATGTAGGTGGGAAGCTGACATTTTGCTCATGTGGGTGATTGCAATTGCATCAGAAATGCTAATGCACTTCAAAGTTTGCCAGGGTATCTGATTTTGAAATCTTGCTGTGCAGTTATTCATCATCTTTTTAAATGATTCTGCTTCCTGTTTTGGTACAAAATCTCACCTATAGACTCAAAAGCGACAAAGTGAGCTTGATGATTAAAATCCCAAGGAAACGTTTCTGTTGCTGTCATTATAACATGCTTTTGTTCTGGTTGTGCCACTATTACAGGTTCACAGGTATAAAATGAGAAAGCAATGGCTTGTCAGGCAAAGTTGCTAAATAGTCATTACCAAGATTATGTGAAATTCACTCTACTAGAATGTGGGATTTGAATAGAGACAGGGCTTCTAGCCCGCTGTTAGCCTGCTTAAACAGTTTTTATTAGAATTTATTTAAAGATTGTCATTTGTTCACTGTGTAATCCCCAGTGTTTGTATGTGTTTGCCTTGTAGAATGGAGGATGAAGCGGTGTTGGACAGAGGAGTGTCCTGTGTCAAACACATCTGTGATGATGAAGTGGAAGGTAAGATGAGTGAATACTAGCAAGTTATCTAGCTGGCATACACATTCTTTGCAGAAGCGTTAACTTATCCCTGTCATTTCACGCATACTGCGCTGTGCTTCATCTAACCATGTAAAAAGTTCCGCTTTTCCTGTAGTATCAGAATTAGAACATATTATTTATGTCATCAGTGCATCTAGTGCCATTCATTGTCATCGGGATGAAATGAGATTTTCAAGATACCCAACAAAAATGCTTCTGAAAAGGCACAAACCCAACCTTTAGCATTTTGATACACTAAAATGTTTGTAGTCCTGTTCACTGCTAAAGCCTTTTGGCATTATGGCAGGCTGTTTGTCTATATTTAGTAGTAGGTACAAGATCCATTTCTTCCCTGTATGAGAATGTGCACTTCTGACCACAGTGAATTGTGAAAGACGTCACTGCAACCTGCAAGACATGTTTATCGAATGCACTTTTGAAAAGGAACTACATAGTTGCTTCAACACTTACTTGCTCAGTTATTCCCAGTATTTGTAAGAGTTTTCTCTCTGTCTCTCTGTCTCTCTAATTGCTTCCTGGAGACATTAAGTCATCATTTCCTGTAGGAGCTGCAGTGTAGGAAATTGCTGGCACATATTAAATTTCACAGTGTGGCTGACTAATGGCATACTGTATCTCTTCCTGATTGGGGAAACAAACCACAAATTGTCACTGAGTAGTTTCAACCTCAGCACAAACCAAAAAACTCAAAGTAGCCTTTGTGATAAGCAGACATTTCATACTGCATCACACCACCACTGTTTTCACTCTGCCAGTGCAGATTATCAGCATCCAGATTATCGTTACTTCCCCATAACTGTGAGTGTAATCTGACTTGTCTTCCCTGTATTGTATTGTGATGTGACAGGTCACCACACTGTGTACATTGGGGTGCATGTTCCCAAAAGCTACCAGCGGAGGAGACGCCACAAACGCAAGTCTAGCCACAAAGAGAAGCGGGAACGAGTTGAACAGACCACAGAAGGATACACAGATGAATCCACTGCAAACATCCTCAAACCTCTCAGTGAGTTCTGATGAAAGTAACCGCCTGGTAACAGCATGCACAGTCCAGAATATAATTTACAGGTGCAGCGTTTGTAATGAATAAATCTCTCTCAATTAAGATGGGTGAAGTCCAGCAGCACTGTGCAAATCACAGTCAGTGCTTCTGTAGTTCAGGAGGTAATCACTTAATAGAGCACTGAGGCCTGGGTACGGTGGCAGCGGAACCTGACACCCAACAGAATTAACAGAGAAAGCAAATGGGAACATGTTGAATACTAATCCAAAAATGACACGGGCTTGGATTAAAGCATGTGAAGTAAATACGGGGGAGGTATTGTGTGTCACCTCGGAGATTAACACAGTAGTTTGTGGGAATTGTGAGAAAGGTTTCTCAGAGGATAAAAACTAGACTTGGGGGTGGGCAGTAAAACAAAATACCAAGATTACAAAGTTACACAAGTTAGATGATGATGTTACTGAACCAGAAGTGGGCCTAATACAACATTATTACTGAGAAGAGCAATGACAGAACAAGTAAGGATAAGTGTGAAGGTATAAATCAGGATACCGGCTCTACCAAGTGAACTACAAGGTGGATCAAGATGCAAAATGCACATTAAGAAGCACAATATTTTAAGGAAAGCACAGCACATGTCGTTCCTTCTATAGAAGCTTGATAGAACTTGGTATTTTAGAACCATTCAGTATTATTTTCCAGACCAGGAGGAATAATATTTCTAAAAAAAGTCTTCAAATATAAGCTGGTTTGTTTAGCAGCCATTTTTTAAACATTATAACAAGTGTGAGAAAAAAAATTGAACCAACAGCCTTTAGAGGCACAACACCAGTTTAGCAACAGTGTGCAGTAACTGAGCCATATAATTGTGTGGGGATCTCCATGTTGTCTGTAAGTCCTGATGAAGACAAACGTCTTGGGTGGGTAATTTTTACACATCAAACATCACAAGGCACACAATCACAGCACTGGAGTTTGCCTAGAACCTGGCACAATGGGAGGGTATTTACGGTCTCCTTTACTGCTGGTTAGAGGTAACAATATGGTATCAGAGTGGGTTTGAGAAAGGAAAGGCTGGGATTTGCCTCCCAGTTCACAGGGGCATGTATGGGCAATAACAGTAGTACCACATACCTGAAGGTAAATTCCAGCAATAGCTGGGATATGTTAGTGCATGTTTGATTAAATCTTAAATATGTAGGTAAAAGTACAGGAGGGTAAATTAGTAATGCAACCATATGCAGAGGCATCAATCAGGAGTTCAAAGACACGGTAAGGAGAGTTGAGCTTTTCCAGGAGCGAGGTTGGGTATCCGTAGAGAAACTCTGTTTGAAACAAAGCAGAATATGGGTGATTGATTCATCGCATGACTCGTCTGTGATTTGTTGCTTTCTGAAAACCAAAAACAATGACTGTGGAAGCTGTACCCTTCCTTTTATTGCTAGCCTTCTTGTAATGCCAAATTAACCAGCACCTACAGTCAGATAGAGGCTGCACATTGCAGCACAATATAATGTGAAAATCGGCAGTACTGGATGTTTCAAGATAGATGGATACAAAATAATAGTATTTACTATCCCGGGCTAGACACAGGAGACTATGACACTGTGTGGTAAGAAAGGATTGGGACTGAAATGTCAAGAAGCAGAAGTGGTAGGAGTTTACTTCTGTTTCATCAGGTGATTGTATTCTTGACAAGCACTTGAATTTAGTTCCAGACTCAGTTACACATAGGCCCTTTTTCACAAATTGGATCCAAACCAGTAGAGATGAGGAGGCCCATATACACTGATCAGCCATAACATTACGACCACCTGCCCAATACTGCGTACACCAGGAGTCAATACGGCAGTTGGTTGTCACTCTGCAGCAGAATCTGTTTGCTTCCATAGTTCTGTCAGGAAGAGCACAACCGTGTCTACCATTCAGTGAAAAACTTATGTAAAAGGAGTGAAAACTGTGGTTGTGAGGACAAGTTAAAGGTCATTCATTCATATCACTCTAGGTGTAATACCACCGCCATAGGCGCTGAATGTTTCTCTTCATACAGACAAATGTAAAGCATTTCTCATTGTCAACCATTATAACAACGATTCAAACCAAATGGAATCTTTTGAAAAGGATGGAAGAAATTTTAAAGTTTATCATGACCCTGTCACCAGTTCACTGTTTTCCTTCCTTAGACCATTTGTGGTAGGTCATGACCCCTGCAGACAGGAACACCCAGCATGACCTGTAGTGTGGGAGATGCTCTGACCCAGTCATCAACCATTACAGCCTGGCCCTTGTCAAAGTCACTCACATCCTTATGCTTGCCCATTATTCCTGCTTTCCACACATCAGCTTCAGGAACTGAATGTTCACTTGCTGTCCCACATGTTGACCAGTGCCATTGTAAAGGGATCATGTTATTCATTTTACCTGTCATTGGTCATAATGTTGTGGCTGATTGGTGTAGATGCCTCCCTTTATCAATTTAATATCAGGTGATATAACAGCTCTATATTGGCCAGATTGTGAAAGAATTGGTCAGAATTTCAATAAAACATAAGAGTAGCTTGGCATGGCCCCTGTGACTGGATTCTTGTATCATCTATGATAACACCTTGATCATGCTAGTGTCCCATACGTCTGGTGACAGATTCCAGAAGGTGACTAATCCCCACATGCCCACGGCTCCTGTAAACACTGTAATCCTCCTCTGTTATGCATCATGCTCGGGAGCTGCCAGCCTGTGTGCTTAGTCATCCACTGGTGCCATGATATGATAACTGCAATAACTTTGTCTGGTTGTTGTGGAACCTATTTGATTATCACATGACTCATGCAAAGTTTGGTTATGGGGTTATAGCTGAGATGGGTCTTCCTTAACAGTTACAGCTGTTTTCAGTAGTTACTCTCAAATCTCTTGCATAAAGGTAATGAAGGAACAAGCAAATATTGATGAAAGGTGATTAGATGAAGTGTTTGTTGATTTGATAGGAGCTTTACAACTCTTCACTGCACAGCGGAGCATTTTCAGTGTCATATAACCCACAGTAGCGCAAGTGAAAAGAGTATTTCATCATAAACTGTGGCCTAAGTGTCAGTAATAGTTTACAGATAAACCCTGTTTGTATAAGACCTTAACACATTTGTGTGGTCATAAATTAATGTCTTTAATTGACCCTGTGGCAAACAGTGCTACTGGTCGTTCTTCCACAGATTTGGTGTCGGACTGAAAATCAGCCAGTGGTGAGACAGATGTGGAACCTGACTAAACACAGAAGCAGATTTTAAACCAAACTGTGGTTCATATGAAATGCACTGACTAACACACAGCCATCCAGACAGATACAGCCTACTGTATCTCTGTAGAAGATCTGAATTGTAAACAGTATTGTCAGGCTGTATGATGAGGCTACAGCCACTGTTGGCTTTGTCCTTGTATTTATTAGGAGGATATGTTGCCCCTTCCTAACTTGCCTTTTACTCTTCTACTGTCTGTGTTAACTTATCTGCTTCCACCACTAGCTCATCATGAATAATTAAAGTGCTTTATGAGGTCTGGGTTAGCATGTGTCACTACATTTGCGATCATGTTTAGAGCTCCCTGTGAATATGTCGACAAGAGAAGCACACAAAAGATGATGGTCAGACAGGTAGTGTAGATATGTGGGTAGCATTCAGGCTAATATGTGACAGATATGACAAATGTCTTACTCAAAACACGCCACACACACTGTTAGACAGTGCGTACTGAGCCCTCCATTTGCTGGACTTTCTGCTGTTTTGTCCTCCATCTAAATCCCCATAATCCTGCTGATTCTTACAAACCCCTTGGAGCTGTCTTAAAGGTTGTGTGTAACCACAACAAAATCCTGGTTTGCATTGATAACACCAGTCATGAAACTTAAGAGGTGAATGGTGTTGTACACAGCATGTGACATTACCAAATGTCACGTTAAAAGTCAGGTTCTGCATCTTCCAGAAGTGAAATGATAGAGAGGCCCTGAGGAAAACTTAGACATCTCTCGTATTTCTGTTTTGTGCCATGGGTGGTTTCTGTTGCTGTGTGCACACCACACTATAATGCTCATATACAAGATGGGGAGATACCAAGTGTTCCATGTCCTAAAGCTGTTTTCAGTTTCCAAGACATTGATCCTGACCTTCATGTAGCCTAAAGGTTGTTAGTTCTCGCTACAGTTCCAGCTGAGCTATTTTAAAAACAACTATCCTAAATTAAGCCTGCATGCGCTGTGCCAGGATTAAAAGGTTACAGGCACTGTTACTGTACCGTGTCGAGGTATCAGCATCAGATAGAGCACATCAAGTGAAAGATGCATTAATAACCTCTTGTCTTACCACTTAACCTCCACTTTCCCATCACTTCACAGTTGCATAACTTTCCTGGAAGTGTTAACAAAAATAAAAAATTATTCACCAAATATATAACCCATAATATACAGGACATCAAGCACTGGTGTTCTCGGTATTGTTGTATTAGTGGGACTCGGAGAAACCTGAGGCTATAGCTGCTTCTTCATGTCTATAATTTCTGACAAGGAGGAGTAAGAGGACAACGACTATTTAGTGTAAATGATCAGTGTTCTTGGGTCAGTTTGCTGTGTTGGAACACTTTTCTCAGAAGGAAGTAAAACTTGCATGCAAAGGGAAACGTTCTTCCTCTGAGGACATGTTAACAGACTCCTTTCATTTTGCTTAAATACCAATGATATTGTCATTTCAAGCAGCAGATAACTGTCATACACTGTATAGAGTCTGGTTCTACCTTCCTTGCATATCAAACGTATAAAGATGCCTATGTTGCCTTTATTCATTTACACCTTTTGATTTGCAGACTGATTTAGACTATTCAGCCTGCCTGCAGTTAGTTGGAAGGCTAATATAGCCCTAGGTTTTCCTGAATAGTTGAGTATTGTTGACTTTTCCATTTCTTGAGGCTATAAAACATGTTGTTGCCTCTGACAGAGAGGTATTCGGTCTGTATTTAATTTGTTGTACTTCTTTGCAGAGGAGATCTTGTATATAACTACTCATAAAAGCAGAATCCGTTGAAATAGTCGGATTTTCTCATGAGCCCAGTGTTCACATTTTTTGGGCCTGATTGATTCTGTGTCAGAGCAATTGGGGAATTGCAGAGTGTTTACATGGCTTTAACAACTTTAAACTGTGTTGTGTGAGTGAGAGAGATCTGCAACTGCATGACCTAGTTTTTGTCTCGGGTTAGTTTGTCCACAGCCAGCTTGCAGGTAGCACAGCAGTCGTACTGTGTGTATATCCCCAGTGTGAGTATTGCCATCATTTTAAGTTTTTATTGGTTTTGGAACAAGGCCTAGACCTTAGCTTTAGCATAATTTTCAGATGGCTGACAGTTTGGGTTTCTTGGGTGTCAAATAAAGTCAGGCAGGATAGATTTGACAGTCCCTTAACCTGCCTCTCTCTCCCCACAGTTTCTCCAGCTGAGAGGATCAGGTTTATTCTGGGAGAGGAGGATGATGGCCCCCCACCTCCTCAGCTCTTCACTGAGCTGGATGAGCTACTGGCAGTGGATGGGCAGGAGATGGAGTGGAAGGAGACAGCCAGGTGAGGCACTGACGCGAATGTCTTTTAAGCCAGTCATGCTATCTGTCACACATGAAGAGCTATAGACTGTGTAGTCAAAAAGTTCTCAGTATCCTGGTGTAGTCAGTGAAACGTAAGCACTTATAAATAGTTGCATTTTCTATG